TAGCCTTATGCCCTTTGTTACCAATTTAAGTTTCACTTTTTAAATATTGAAGAAAGAATATATCATTAAATAGTTAATTAGAAGTAAAAATTAAAAAATAAATATGAAATAATAAGATTAATTAATTAATTAATAATAAAAGTAAAATTTGAAAATAAATTGATGAATGAGTTAAATTAACAAAAAAAGAACAAATAAAAGCAAGCAAAATAAAAAGAAAAATAAAAAAGAGCTTTATTGTTTTAAATTAGTTTTTATAATTATAAATATCACAATCCAAAACAAATAAACTGTTTTTACTCAAGGTTAAGTGTCAAATTTGAGAGATTAATGCACTTTGCTAAACCAGAACCTAAGCCTGATGTACCTTCGTCACCAATTTAATTACCCCTTTTTAAATATTGAAGAAAGAATATATCATTAAATAGTTAATTAGAAGGAAAAATAAAAAATAAATATGAAATAATAAGATGAATTAATTAATAATAAAAGTAAAATTTGAAAATAAATTGATGAATGAGTTAAATTAACAAAAAAATAACAAATAAAAGCAAGCACAATAAAAAGAAAAATAAAAAAGAGCTTTATTGTTTTAAATTAGTTTTTATAATTAAAAATATCACAATCCAAAACAAATAAACTGTTTTTACTCAAGTTTAAGTGTCAAATTTGAGAGAGTAATGCACTTTGCTAAACCAGAACCTAAGCCTGATGCACCTTCGTCACCAATTTAATTACCACTTTTAAAATATTGAAGAAAGAATATATCATTAAATAGTTAATTAGAAGGAAAAATAAAAAATAAATATGAAATAATAAGATTAATTAATTAATAATAAAAGTAAAATTTGAAAATAAATTGATGAATGAGTTAAATTAACAAAAAAATAACAAATAAAAGCAAGCACAATAAAAAGAAAAATAAAAAAGAGCTTTATTGTTTTAAATTAGTTTTTATAATTAAAAATATCACAATCCAAAACAAATAAACTGTTTTTACCCAAGGCTAAGTGTCAAATTTGAGAGATTAATGCACTTTGCTAAACCAGAACCTAAGCCTGATGCACCTTCGTCACCAATTTAATTAAGACTTTTTAAATATTGAAGAAAGAATATATCATTAAATAGTTAATTAGAAGGAAAAATAAAAAATAAATATGAAATAATAAGATTAATTAGTTAATAATAAAAGTAAAATTTGAAAATAAATTGATGAATGAGTTAAATTAACAAAAAAATAACAAATAAAAGCAAGCACAATAAAAAGAAAAATAAAAAAGAGCTTTATTGTTTTAAATTAGTTTTTATAATTAAAAATATCACAATCCAAAACAAATAAACTGTTTTTACTAAAGTTCAAGTGTCAAATTTGAGAGATTAATGCACTTTGCTAAACCAGAACCTAAGCCTGATGCACCTTCGTCACCAATTTAATTACGACTTTTTAAATATTGAAGAAAGAATATATCATTAAATAGTTAATTAGAAGGAAAAATAAAAAATAAATATGAAATAATAAGATTAATTAGTTAATAATAAAAGTAAAATTTGAAAATAAATTGATGATTGAGTTAAATTAACAAAGAAAGAACAAATAAAAGCAAGCACAATAAAAAGAAAAATAAAAAAGAGCTTTATTGTTTTAAATTAGTTTTTATAATTAAAAATATCACAATCCAAAACAAATAAACTGTTTTTACTCAAGTTTAAGTGTCAAATTTGAGAGATTTATGCACTTTGCTAAACCAGAACCTAAGCCTGATGCACCTTCGTCACCAATTTAATTACGACTTTTTAAATATTGAAGAAAAAATATATTATTAAATATAGAGTAAGTTGCCATTCAAATTTACAAAAAGTAATTTTAAATATAGCTATATGCTATTCAAAAATTTAGTGAATTTAGATCACTATTTTTTTGAATGGCTGATTCATTTGAAAATTATTTATATACAAGTAAATAATTTTATAATTGAATTTGATTAATGATATTTAAAGTTTTAATTTATAACAATCTTTAGTAAAATTTTTCAAAATATATTTTTCAAAAAAAATGGTATGTTCTAAGAACATACGGTATGTATATATTATTTCTAATTTTGCATTTAGTGAATTTAAAGCTTTCTATAAACTCAAAAATAAAGCTGTTTAAATTAATTTAGCTTTATTTATTATGTTATTAAGATATTTTACATTTTACCTTTTGTATATTAAATAGGCATTTCACACTAGTTAATTGGAAGAAAAAGATGAAAAAAAAATATGAAATAATTAGATTAATTAATAATTAACAAAGAATGAAAAAAAAAAAGAAATCACAATAAAAATAAAAAGGAAAATAAATCAAATAAATTAAAAGAGCTTTAATGTTTTAAATTAACTTTTATAATTAAAAATATTATAATTCAAAACTAATAAACTGCTTTTATTATTTGTAAGTTTTAATAGTAAAAATGAATGAAGAAAAAATATCAAATAATAAAAAATGAATAATAAATAAATAATTAAAAATTGAATAGAAATTTAAGTTAAATAGCTAAAAAATTTTGTTATAATAAAAATAAATAAGTAATCATGCATGATAATTTCTATTATAAAAATTATTTATTTAAATAAATAGAAAGTTAAATATATAAAAAATATTAATAATAATAAAAACAATATTTTTTAATTAAATATACCTTAGATAAATATGGAGAACCTAATGAGATAAAAGTGAAGAGCTTAAAAACTTTTTTTATTAATTTATATAAATTTAAAGGATGTTAATAAAAAAATTAATAATTACTTCTTCTAATCTATTATATTTTTTAATCTATTACATCATTTATTTATTTTTTCAAATATATTGAAAAACAATTTATGAAATTTAATTAATTAATTAATTAATTAATTATAAATGGATAAAAAGAACAAATAAATATAATAATTAATTAATTATCAAATATTTATTTATAAATTTGGTTTTATGAAGAGATATCACAGAAAAATTAATTTAACATTCACTATTTAATCTTAATATTTGTATTTAAAACATATACTTAAAAATATATATAGTAGGAATTAGAGATGGCCTATTAGCCTTATTTGAAAAATTCTAGTAATTAATTAATTATTTTTCTTAAATTTAGAAAATTCTGTGAATAAAACTAAAACAAAAAAAAGATACTACACAAATAAGCATATTATTTTTTGAAAATTAAAAAGACGCAGCTAGGATATTTAATACTGAAAAGTAAAATAAATAGTGAATATTTGCAAATATAAAATAATTTCTAATTCTAAAGAATAAAATGAAATCACATATTTTTTCTAAACTTTTTCTTTCATAAATCAATCTTCCTATTTTTATTTCAGGCTAAAAAACTTTTTCAAAATATAAAATAACAAAATATATAATATTCAATTATTCAAACATTTAATATTTATTAATCAGTTTTTAGCCGCTTGTTTATCAGTAAAATGTGTTTTTAAAGGCAACTAATCTTTTTGATTTAAGACACTTGCTTATTACTTTGAATTTTTATGATTAATTCATTTAGCTAAATATTTTATAATAAATTTGTGTAAATTTTAAATAAATATCAAATAGAATAAACTTTTAATAAAATTAGTGGAATAAAAATACAAAAAATAAATCAAATAAAAGCTATCAAATAAATTCAAAGAGCTTTATTATTTTAAATTAGCTTTTATAATTATAAATATCACAATCCAAAACAAATAAACTGTTTTTACTAAAGTTAAAGTGTCAAATTTGAGAGATTAATGCACTTTGCTAAACCAGAACCTAAGCCTGATGCACCTTCGTCACCAATTTAATTATCACTTTTTAAATATTGAAGAAAAAATATATCATTAAATGGTTAATTAGAAGGAAAAATGAAGAATAAATATGAAATAATAAGATTGATTAATTAATTAATAATAAAAGTAAAATTTGAAAATAAATTAATTAATGAGTTAAATTAACAAAGAAAGAACAAAAAAAAGCAAGCACAATAAAAAGAAAAGTAAAAAAGAGCTTTATTGTTTTAAATTAGTTTTTATAATTAAAAATATCACAATCCAAAACAAATAAACCATTTTTACCCAAGGTAAAGTTTCAAATTTGAGAGATTAATGCACTTTGCTAAACCAGAACCTAAGCCTTATGCACCTTTGTCACCAATTTAAGTATCACTTTTTAAATATTGAAGAAAAAATATATCATTAAAAAGTTAATTAGAAGGAAAAATTAAAAAATAAATATGAAATAATAAGATTATTAATTAATAATAAAAGTAAAATTTGAAAATAAATTGATGAATGAGTTAAATTAAGAAAGAAAGAACAAAAGAAGCAAGCACAATAAAAAGAAAAATAAAAAAGAGCTTTATTGTTTTAAATTAGTTTTTATAATTAAAAATATCACAATCCAAAACAAATAAACTGTTTTTACCCAAGGATAAGTGTCAAATTTGAGAGATTAATACACTTTGCTAAACCAGAACCTAAGCCTGATGCACCTTCGTCACCAATTTAATTATCCCTTTTTAAATATTGAAGAAAAAATATATCTGAAAAGCTAATTAGAAAGTAAAATTAAAAAATAAATATGAAATAATGAGATTAATTAATTAATAATAAAAGTAAAATTTGAAAATCAAATGATGAATGAGTTAAATTAACAAAGAAAAAACAAAAAAAAGCAAGCACAATAAAAAGAAAAATAAAAAAGAGCTTTATTGTTTTAAATTAGTTTTTATAATTAAAAATATCACAATCAAAAACAAATAAACAGTTTTTACTAAAGATAAAGTGTCAAATTTGAGAGATTAATGCACTTTGCTAAACCAGAACCTAAGCCTGATGCACCTTCGTCACCAATTTAATTATCACTTTTTAAATATTGAAGAAAAAATATATCATTGAAAAGTTAATTAGAAAGTAAAATTAAAAAATAAATATGAAATAATAAGATTAATTAATTAATAATAAAAGTAAAATTTGAAAATAAATTGATGAATGAGTTAAATTAACAAAGAAAGAAAAAAAAAAGCAATCATAATAAAAAGAAAAATAAAAAAGAGCTTTATTGTTTTAAATTAGTTTTTATAATTAAAAATATCACAATCCAAAACAAATAAACTGTTTTTACAGAAGGCTAAGTGTCAAATTTGAGAGAGTAATGCACTTTGCTAAACCAGAACCTAAGCCTGATGCACCTTCGTCACCAATTTAATTACCACTTTTTAAATATTGAAGAAAGAATATATCATTAAATAGTTATTAGAAGTAAAAATTAAAAAATAAATATGAAACAATAAGATTAATTAATTAATAATAAAAGTAAAATTTGAAAGTAAATTGATGAATGAATTAAATTAACAAAAAAAGAACAAATAAAAGCAAGCACAATAAAAAGAAAAATAAAAAAGAGCTTTATTGTTTTAAATTAGTTTTTATAATTAAAAATATCACAATCCAAAACAAATAAACTGTTTTTACCCAAGGCTAAGTGTCAAATTTGAGAGATTAATGCACTTTGCTAAATCAGAACCTAAGCCTGAAGCGCCTTTGTCACCAATTTAATTTTTCCTATTTAAATATTAAAGAAAAAATATATCATTAAAAAGTTAATTAGAAGGAAAAATTAAAAAATAAATATGAAATAATAGGATTAATTAATTAATAATAAAAGTAAAATTTGAAAATAAATTGATGAATGAGTTAAATTAAGAAAGAAAGAACAAAAGAAGCAAGCACAATAAAAAGAAAAATAAAAAAGAGCTTTATTGTTTTAAATTAGTTTTTATAATTAAAAATATCACAATCCAAAACAAATAAACTGTTTTTACCTAAGGCTAAGTGTCAAATTTGAGAGATTAATGCACTTTGCTAAATCAGAACCTAAGCCTGAAGCGCCTTTGTCACCAATTTAATTACAACTTTTTAAATATTGAAGAAAAAATATATCATTAAATAGTTAATTAGAAGGAAAAATCAAAAATAAATATGAAATAATAAGATTAATTAATTAATAATAAAAGTAAAATTTGAAAATAAATTGATGAATGAGTTAAATTAACAAAGAAAAAACAAAAAAAAGCAAGCACAATAAAAAGAAAAATAAAAAAGAGCTTTATTGTTTTAAATTAGTTTTTATAATTAAAAATATCACAATCTAAAACAAATAAACTGTTTTTACCCAAGGCTAAGTGTCAAATTTGAGAGATTAATGCACTTTGCTAAACCAGAACCTAAGCCTGAGGCACCTTCATCACCAATTTAATTATCACTTTTTAAATATTAAAGAAAAAATATATCATTAAATATAGAGTAAGTTGCCATTCATATTTACAAAAAGTAATTTTATTTGTAGCTAAATGCCATTCAAAAATTTAGTGAATTGAGATAACTATTTTTTTGAATGGCTGATTCATTTGAAAATATTTATATAAAAATAAATAATTTTATAATTGAATTTGATTAATGATATTTAAAGTTTTAATTTATAACAATCTTTATGATTTTTCTATTAAATTTTTAATTTTAGCTTTTTTTAAAAATTTTTCTTCAAAAAACTCTTGATTTTTGAGTTCATAAAATTTTTCAAAAAAAAATGGTATGTTCTAAGAATATACGGTATGTATATATTATTTCTAATTTTGCATTTAGTGAATTTAAAGCTTTCTAAAAACTTAAAAATAAAGCTGTTTAAAGCTAATTTAGCTTTATTTATTATGTTATTAAGATATTTTACATTTTGCCTTTTGTAAATTAAAGAGGCATTTAAATCTAGTTAATTAGAAGAAAAAAATGAAGAAAAAATATGAAATAATAAGATTAATTAATAAAATTAACAAAGAATGAAAAAAAAAGAAATCACATTAAAAAGAAAAAGGAAAATAAATCCAATAAATTAAAAGAGCTTTAATGTTTTAAATTAACTTTTATAATTAAAAATATTATAATTCAAAACTAATAAACTGCTTTTATTATTTGTAAGTTTTAATAGTAAAAATGAATGAAGAAAAAATATCAAATAATAAAAATAAATAATTAAAAATTGAATAGAAATTTAAGTTAAATAACTAAAAAATTTTTGTTATAATAAAAATCAATAAGTAATCATTCATGATAATTTCTATTATAAAAATTATTTATTTAAATAAATAGAAAGTTAAATATATAAAAAATATTAATAATAATAAAAACAATATTTTTTAACTAAAAATACTTGAGACAAATACTGAGAGCCTAATGAGATAAAAGCGAAGAGCTTAAAAACTTTTTTTATTAATTTATATAAATTTAAAGGATGTTAATATAAAAATTAATAATTACTTCTTCTAATCTATTATATTTTTTAATCTATTACATCATTTATTTTTTTTTTTCAAAAATATTGAAAAGCAATTTATGAAATTTAATTAATTAATTAATTATAAATGGATAAAAAGAACAAATAAATATAATAATTAATTAATTAATTATCAAATATTAATTTATAAATTTGGTTTTATGAAGAGATATCACATACAAATTAATTTAACATTGATTATTTAATCTTAATATTTGTATTTAAAACATAAACTTAAAAATATATATAGTAGGAATTCGAGATGGCCAATTAGCCGTATTTAAAAAATTCTAGTAATTATTAATTTTAAGAGGAATTTAAATTCATTAGATCATATTGATAAAAAAAACAAAAATTAAAGTAGATAATTTAAGGATGGAGATAAATTTATAAAATTGTTTGAATAAAACTGAAAACAAAAAAAAGATACTACACAAATAAGCATATGATTTTTTGAAAATTAAAAAGACGCAGCTAGGATATTTAATACTGAAAAGTAAAATAAATAGTGAATATTTGCAAATATAAAATAATTTCTAATTCTAAAGAATAAAATGAAATCTTATATTTTTTCTAAACTTTTTCTTTCATGAATCAATCATCCTATTTTTATTTTAGGCTAAAAAACTTTTTCAAAATATAAAATAATAAAATATATAATTTTAATTATTCAAACATTTAATTTTTATTAATCATTTTATAGCCGCTTGATTATCAGAAAAGTGTTTTTTTAAAGGCAACTAATCTTTTTGATTTAAGACACTTGCTTATTACTTTGAATTTTTATGATTAATTCATTTAGCTAAATATTTTATAATAAATTTGTGTAAATTTTAAATAAATATCAAATAGAATAAACTTTTAATAAAATTAGTGGAATAAAAATACAAAAAATAAATCAAATAAAAGCTATCAAATAAATTCAAAGAGCTTTATTGTTTTAAATTCGCTTTTATAATTAAAAATATCACAATCCAAAACAAATAAACTGTTTTTACTCAAGATGAAGTGTCAAATTTGAGAGATTAATGCACTTTGCTAAACCAGAACCTAAGCCTGATGCACCTTTGTAACCAATTTAATTATCACTTTTTAAATATTGAAGAAAAAATATATCATTAAATAGTTATAGAAGGAAAAATTAAAAAATAAATATGAAATTAAAAGATTTTTTTTTAATTAATAATATAAGTAAAATTTGAAAATAAAATGATGAATGAGTTAAATTAACAAAGAAAGAACAAATAAAAGCAAGCACAATAAAAAGAAAAATATAAAAAAGCTTTATTGTTTTAAATTAATTTTTATAATTAAAAATATCACAATCCAAAACAAATAAACTGTTTTTACCCAAGGATAAGTGTCAAATTTGAGAGATTAATGCACTTTGCTAAATCAGAACCTAAGCCTGATGCACCTTCGTCACCAATTTAATTATTACTTTTTAAATATTGAAGAAAAAATATATCATTAAATGGTTAATTAGAAGGAAAAATGAAGAATAAATATGAAATAATAAGATTAATTAATTAATAATAAAAGAAAAAGTTGATAATAAATTGATGAATGAGTTAAATTAACAAAGAAAAGAACAAAAAAAAGCAAGCACAATAAAAAGAAAAATAAAAAAGAGCTTTATTGTTTTAAATTAGATTTTATAATTAAAAATATCACAATCCAAAACAAATAATCTGTTTTTACCCAAGGCTAAGTGTCAAATTTGAGAGATTAATGCACTTTGCTAAACAAGAACCTAAGCCTGATGCACCCTTTGCACCAATTTTATTCCTACTTTTTAAATATTGAAGAAAAACAATATCATTAAATAGTTATAGAAGGAAAAATTAAAAAATAAATATGAAATATGATGAATGAGTTAAATTAACAAATAAAGAACAAAAAAAGCAAGCACAATAAAAAGAAAAATATAAAAGAGCTTTATTGTTTTAAATCAGTTTTTATAATTAAAAATATCACAATCCAAAACAAATAAACTGTTTTTACTAAAGATAAAGTGCCAAATTTGAGAGATTAATGCACTTTGCTAAACCAGAACCTAAGCCTGATGCACCCTTTACACCAATTTAATTACCACTTTTTACATATTGAAGAAAAAATATATCATTAAAAAGTTAATTAGAAGGAAAAATTAAAAAATAAATAAGAAATAATAAGATTTTTTAATTAATAATAAAAGTAAAATTTGAAAATAAATTGATGAATGAGTTAAATTAACAAAGAAAGAACAAAAAAAAGCAAGCATAATAAAAAGAAAAATAAAAAAGAGCTTTGCTGTTTTAAATCAGTTTTTATAATTAAAAATATCACAATCCAAAACAAATAAACTGTTTTTTACTCAAGATAAAGTGTCAAATTTGAGAGATTAATGCACTTTGCTAAACCAGAACATAAGCCTGATGCACCTTTGTCACCAATTTAATTATCACTTTTTAAATATTGAAGAAAAAATATATCATTAAATATAGAGTAAGTTGCCATTCAAATTTACAAAAAGTAATTTTATATTGCTAATCCAGGATAGCATTATATTTTAATACCTGGATTATGATTAATTTATTATTTAAAAAATAAATAAAAGAATTTATGAAAAAGTATGTAAAGGCAAGATTCAATAAAATTCATAAATTGTATTTAATATATAAATATATAGTATAAAAAGCGCTCAAATACAATATTCAATATTTTTTCAAAATTTTGGTGGTTTTCATTAATGTTGATTTTTAAGTTGGTAAAATTTTTCAAAAAAAATGATATGTTTTTATGAGTATACGGTATGTATATTTTATTTCAAATTTTTCATTATGTGAATTTAAAGCTTTCTAAAAGCTCGAAAATAAAGCTGTTTAAAGCTAATTTAACTTTATTTATTATGTTATTAAGATATTTTACATTTTGCCTTTTGTATATTAAATAGGCATTTCACTCTAGTTAATTAGAAGAAAAAAATGAAGAAAAAATATGAAATAATAAGATTAATTAATAATTAATAAAATTAACATAGAATGAAAAAAAAAAGAAATCACAATAAAAAGAAAAAGGAAAATAAATCAAATAAATTGAAAGAGATTTAATGTTTTAAATTAACTTTTATAATTAAAAATATTAGAATTCAAAACTAATAAACTGCTTTTATTAAGTGTAAGTTTTAATAGCAAAAATGAAGAAAAAATATCAAATTATAAAAAATGAATAATAAATAATTAAAAGTTGAATTAAAATTTAGTTAATAGAGCTAAAAAAATTTTGTTTTAATAAAAATCAATGAATAATGATGATAATTTCTAAAACAAAAATTATTTATTAAAATAAATAGAAAGTTAAATATATAAAAAATATTAATAATAATAAAAATAATATTTATAAATAAAATATACTTGAGATCAATATGGAGAACCTAATGAGATAAAAGTGAAGAGCTTAAAAACTTTTTTTATTAATTTATTTAAATTTAAAGGATATTAATAAAAAAATTAATAATTACTTCTT